GGACTTTAAGGTTAAACTTTAAGTGTGTTTCTGAGGGCCGACAGCGTACATGACTTACGCTCCCTGCAGAATAAAACATGTACGCACCTTTCTTTTTTTAGCACACAGTCTGAGAGTTTCACCACGTTAGAATAAAACGTGAGAATAAATATTAATTTTTTTATTTAGGTGCATTTTAACTCGTAGACTGTCGTTGATAAGATTTAATTTAACATCTTCGAGTTGTTTTGTGTGAACGGAGAAAAGCTTTTACTTTAATTTAATAATTTTTTACATTTATATTTGTGATGTTTTAAATTTTAACTTCACATTTCAGATCATTAAATCAAATCAGATCAGTATCCCATCTGCCGTCAGACTGTTGAATCAGACTCTTTAACAGCATCACCACCTCATGACTCATATCAATAATGCTACACACTGTGTGTGTTTTTAATAACAACTCTTTCCACAAGTGGAAGTGTACATACCTTGTATTATTCTATTATTATATTTTTTTCTCCCTTTATTTAACTGATGTAAATATGTTTGATTTTTAACTTCTTATTTTTAATAATTATATTCCTGTTTCCCCATGTCCCCATGGGGGATCAATAAAGTTTATCTTTATCTTTATCTTTAAAGTTTCATCTTACACCTTAGCTGGAATTACAAGACACATTTAAAGATGTTCATTTTGGCTCATGAAAATAATTCTCATCTGGAGCTAAACGAACAAAAAACGAATTTTAAAGGAATAGGCTATTTCGTTTTAGCGTTCATAAAAAAATAAAGAATTGAGGGTAAATCATGACGTCATGATTTTAAAATATATTGATGCATGTTTTTACAATTAATTTACAAACTTTGTACGCTTAAAAAAAATCAGATTTAAATGATTGTAGGAGCTCTAATAAAAGCAGTGTGTACATAATGATTTTCTGTCGGAGTGTAAAAGTGTGAATGAAGTCCAGCTGTCAGAGAAACGCGCCGTTAATAAGATAAATACCACGAAACTGTATGTGTGTGTGTGTGTGTGTGTGAGTGACATGACGTGTCAGTGTCCTCTCTGCAGTTCCGCTTTTAACTGTAATCGCTCGTGCACACGTTCACGGTGTTCAGACACAACGCACAAATCTGCTCGTGATTAAAACGAACACACACTCTCTCTCTCTCAAACACACACGCGCGCGCGCACACACACACACGCGCGCGCGCGCGCACACACACACACACACACACACACACAAACAGGGAGAGAGACCGTGTGAAATTCATTCTCATCATTACAAACCCGCAAAAACCGCGCGCGCGCACACTGACATATCATTTCTTCACGCGACGTTTATCAGTCAATCAACCAATTAATGAATCAGCGGTTTAACACGGTTTGCTTCGCGGTTCAGCTGGAAGGGTTTGGCTCATTTCATATTTTAATTCATGATAAAGTAAGTCACTGAAGAGGATCAAACTTTTTAGTAATTTCTTTGTTTCCTTTCTGAAACATCTGTGCTCGATTAACCGATTCTTTATTCGAGCAGCTGCACGTTCACGGAGAGGCCAGAGAGGATGGAAGCTTCCTGAACTTTTAAGAGTCTTAACTTTCTATTTATCGTTTGATTGGAGTCTGAGAGAAGAGCATGATGGGGAAATGTGTCCGAGTTATAAATCAGCTGTTTATCACGTGTTCGACTTTAATGATCATTTCGGATTTTTGATGAATAACATTTATATAATGTCTCATCCCGTAAATCTGTCCTTAAACTCAGACTGCTGCTGGTTTTAAACTATTACACTTTATTTTAAAATTACGACTTTTGAATTAAATCTCAGAAAATTCATCTTTTTTCTCTTTAATCTCTTTAATCTCCGAATTTCATTATAACTTTTTTATGAATAGGCTTCTTTCCCCTTCTTCCTTTTTTTAAAAACTTTGTCTAAATCTACAGATCATCCCAGATGTCTGACCCTAAACTCAGAATTGATTTTTATTTATTTAAACATGAATTTCTTAATGTAATCTCAGATTACTGACTTTAAAAATTAAATTAAATAGGACAACACACTTCGAACAGATCCAAGTCCTTTTAGTGCTTATTTTGTATTTTTTGTATCTTTGTATTTCATATTGTATTGTGTTTAAATTTGCTAAGATTGTGTGTTTGGACAACCTGCTGCTGTAACGCCACAATTTCCCAGTTTGGGATCAATAAAGTAATTCTATTCTATTCTATATAGATCCAGTACGTATGGGCCTACTTTTACCTCTAGTGATGAATATCCGGTTTAATATGTCACGTTTAATTTGCAGGTAATCTTCCGCGCGCTGTCTGACCTTCAAAGTCAAATCTACCTGGGTATAAAGTAGTTCTGGGGTAGGAGATCTGACGCATCTCAAGCAACGTGCTTTACAGAATATAAAAAATACACAACAGTTAAATCCTTCACCATGACACAGAAAGTATGCAGCCGCTTGAATCCATCCGGACAACGTTTATATAATTAGAGCCAATCAGAGCGATGCTTTACGTCACGTCAAACCTCCGACATGTTTCCGTTTGATGTGTTTAAAGCTCTTTGAATCAATACATTATGATTTATCAATGAATACACTCGCCTCGGATCAGAGGAGCTCCAACATTAAACCATGCAGGTCTACACGGACTCCCTCTCCTCTTCAGCAGACACAGAGTTCAGAGGTCGTGCACGCGCTTCAAAAACTTTCTAAAAAACAACGAGACGTGGAGCTCTTTAGTCCCCCCCCCCCCTCCCCTCTCTCTCTGTGTCGGTCTTCTCGGGTTTCAGGGTCTTTCTCGACCTGTCGAGCGACGCCAGCGCCACATAAATCACACTTTACTTTATAAACCCCCTCCTCTCTCTGTGAAGTGCGGCCCAGCACACACACACGCACACACACACTGAATCTCATTGAGGCTTTAATCTCCTCATTCTTCTTCTTTATAATCTGCAGAACATCATTTCTCTTCTCCCCTCTGCAGGATTTTCTGCTCACAGTAATCATCACTGTTATTATTATTATTGATTGTTTGGATTGTGTTGTGTGAACTGGAGCAGTGTAAATATGTTAGGTGGTGACATTGTGTAAATAACTGTTACAGACCGGGGTCCCCCCCCCCCATGACCCTATCTCAGTCATTTATTGTGCAACTCCCATTTGTGCAAACTCACATTTAAATGATTTTTTTTTTTTTTTACATGTAGTAAAAAAAAAAAGTATTTTTGCCTTTATTGGATAGGACAGCTGGAGAGAGAGGGGGACGACATGCAGCAGAGGGCCGAGGTTGGATTTGAACCCACGGCCGCTGCGATGAGGACTACAGCCTCTGTGCAAGCAGAGCGCTAGGCTATCCAACACCCCATTTCAGCATAAATCTTACTTAACGACTGTCGCTGTATTTAAAATTGAACTACTGTTTCTACGCATTTTTTAAATAATGGGTAAAATATGCTGTTCTTAAGAATTACTTTTTAAAAATGTGGTTATGGAAGGCACCTCGCGGCCCACCCTCAGTGTCTCAGGCCCCCCCGCTTTGGGAACTAGTGCTTTAATGCACTGAGTATCAGAAGCACAGGGAATTAAATATCTGAACTATACGTATGTAGAATATTTACAACCGTGCAAGCAGCCTGTTACAGTCGCTCCTGTTTCAAGATCTAGAAAGAGCATGCATGGAAACTCCTCAAAGAATAGTGAGTGAGTAGTGAAGGAGCAGTGATGATGACTTCCTGTGCAGCCTATCATATTTTTGTGATCTTTGGCAATCTGTCTTTAATGTTGTGGACTTGTATTGAGGTGTGTTTGTGCTGTGCTTGTATTTGGTCTTTGTCTTTGAAGTGTAATTAAAATTGGGGGGCTGGGGTCGGGGGTCGGGGGGATGCAAACAGTGTAATGTGAGGACATTTATCTGTGAGTGTGTCTAACGTTGTCATGAGAGGAGAGAGAGAACAAACCTGGTGCAGCGGATCAGAGACAACCCAAGAAGAAAATACCTGGGAGTGTGTTGATGTGAAAACAGTCTGGGTGAGTCGATTGTGCAGGCAATAAAAAATAAAAAATAAATAACACTTCAAACCACTGATACCACTTTGAATTTACACCCTGATGAGCCTTCATTTAACTCCTGCCATCTCTGATTAAACAAAAAGTAAATGACCAGCTCCTCCTTTTTTTGAATTAAATTGCAGTTTTTATGTTTTTTTGAAGATAAAGAGGATTTTCAAAAACTGCCCTGAAATGCCAATGCTCAAGTCTACAGATAGGAAAGTGCTGCAGACTTGACTTAACAAATGCATCGGTGCCTGAATGCATCACGTATTCTGGAAGAATCTGAATGTGCAGAGTAACGCCTCACACACTCCCAATAAAATATTCTTTAACATGTTTCAGCCTTTCATTTGTTTCTTTTAGTTTCTTCGAAGTAGGAGAGCTGCTGAATTGTTTTTATATTTACTGAGATGCATAAACTAAAGTGTTAAAAGGGAGTCAAGTTTTTTAAAACAGAACGCTTCACGAGGTGAACAAACTACAATGATGTTTGTCTTGAAATGAAACATAAATGAGACACTTTCACTGAAGCAGAAATGACATCATTCCGTCACTTTGCGTAATCTTCTCTGTAATTTGGGGGAATCTGAGCTGAAATGCACTCGGCGGGACTTCAAACATTTGACCTTGGAGATTCAGCGGGGACAGAGAGAGAGAGAAGGGGATGGCGGTCGCTCTCCACGTCTCCGAGCTTCTACCTCACAACTAATTAAAAGAGCTGCTTTTACGGCACTCTCCTTCAGACGGCCAGATGTGACCGGAGCGCTGTAAAAAAAATCTCAAAGCGCTTTACAGAAACACTTACTGCACTTTTAAAAATACACGGCGAGGGTCCCACGGTGCTCCCCCCCCCTTCCCTAAGTGTGGATTCCTGCACATGATCACGAGCGTCAGTCCTGCAGGAAGCTCTTTATCTAAACGCTGAAAAAAAGAAGGAACACAAGAGAGGAAAGCGTGCACTTTAACCCTTTATTTTAGTAAAGTATCTTTAATCTAAATATCTCCCCTGTTTAAATATCTTTTTATAATCATCAGTCTCATCGAACATTCAGAGTTTACAGACTTTAGTCAGACCCACATGTAGAAAGTGAAAGAGATGATTGTTATATATTATTTTCACCACATTGCTCCATGTGCGAGAGAGAGCGAGAGAGAGAGAGAGAGTCTGCAGAAAGACATGCCGCTAAAATCATCTGTACATACATGAGCACAGATCGTCTTACCGTCGAGGAGGCCCGCTGCTCCGCGCCGCACCGACAACATCAGAAATGAGCTTTATGAAACACGAGCCCAGCGCCGGCTAACATGTTCATCTACAACACACGGGACGGCTCGGTTTGTCGGCCGAGCAAAGAGAGGGATGGAGTCAGGAAATAAAACAGGACCCATCTTAGTGTTTTTTTACCACAAAGAGAAAAGAGTGGGAAACAGTCAGCGTCTGATTGAGACTAACCTCGTGATTCATGAAACATGTTTGTAAGCTCAAAGACAGAGTCAACGCTGCAGCTGAATGTGTGATCCTGCAGGTTCACACAAACACACCGAGGGCTCGAGTGACGACAGCATAGAACAGTTTGAAAACCAAAAACAAATCTTTGGAGGCTGAAGTTTGTTTTCTAAAGACAAGCAGCCGTACATCACTCTGCCTGAACCATTTAGGAAACAAGGAAACAAGGTGACACTTAAAGCCAGTTTGTGACACTCACTGACGATAACTAACCGAGTCCCCCTAAATATAAAGTTCATGTTCAACTGATCCTCAAAAGCTCGCACCTTTTAGACGACATGCAGAGCAGCCCAGAATCATTTCTTCCCAAAGAATAAAGAAAAGAGGAGTCTTAAATGGTTCAATCGATGTGTTCAGGGAACTTCTGTGAAAGTGATCATTTGGTTAAAAAAAAGGCAAAAATGACGACTTCATTCCCAAAACCTGCATCTTTTAGGAACTTCAACCAAAAGGATTATGGGGCCTCGTATTTAAGGGAATTAGGAGCTAAGTAGGTGTTTTCTCACAAGCACAAAACACCTGAATTTTTCCCAATAATTTTCTGGTTGAGCTGCATGTGTGAACACAATTGGCTGGATTTTTGCACCCAGACTTTTTCCTGCCAAGCCCCGTTAAGCCGCTGCTGGCTAAAGTTATCTACTCGAGCTGTTTTTCACATCTGCACTCCTGAAAATATTTCGATAATTTCAGGAGGACTGCTCCAGATATTCTGCTGACCTGTTGTTCTCGCATGCTCTCACAGAGGGAGACTATTTCTGTTCAACACGCTGCCCTGGACGTTGCAGCAGCACTGTAAAGATCTGGCCGACAGTATTGGAGGACAACATTCCTGTTAGTGTTTTATATTAAGCTCTACAGCCTGACATGTTATGATGATGTCCACATAGTTTTCACAACAGCTGATGAAAGTTGAGTGTCTCTTTACTGAGCATCAGGATGCTGTGACCTCACACGGGGCACCGTTTTCTAGAGTTTTACGTTCCTGTTCAGTCTGTGTTTGTTCAGCCGTCTGTTGGACGTCCCCTCCTCTCTCCTTCACACTCTCTTCCTTCGGCGCTCCACAGTCTTTGGTTGATTGAATGGTTCCCTCCTGATTCTCCATCGACCCGTTACCATGCGTCTCCACACAGCTTCTCCTCTTCTCCTCCACCTCCTCCTCCTCCTTTTTCTGCTTCTCCAGCTCCTCCTCGGTGGCCTGAAGTTGCAGCTGCTGCATCAGCTCTTCCAGCTTGTGGGCTTTGCGCAGCTCGTTCTGCTGGATGATGGCGCAGAGGTGCTCCGTCAGCTGCTCCTTCACCTCCCTCTTCTTGTGCAGGTCCAGCTTGGCCATCACGTACTCAGCCTCCGCCTTCTCATATCGCTTTCTGAGAAAATATGTAAATAAACAAAGAGAAACAGAATAAGACGACTGCAAAGACTCTCTCTTAAACTCTGCGTAAAATAGGATGTAACTTTTAGCAATGTGAAGTACTTTAATCCTGGTGTTGAAGTTAGATTCAGTATGCTGCTTAAGCGCTTCTTTTAAACGCACAGGATGTAAACTCCACCACCAGGGGGCTCTCAATAAAAACAATAACAAAAGAAGACGTTGAGGATGTCGGGGGAATCAAGGGAGTGATTCTACTCTTCATTTTTTTTCCAATTAAAAAAACTTTATATGCAAATCACGATTGAAAAACGTTGATATGTTGTTTAGAAAATGTTTAAAAAGGGAGTACAGGAACTTTTAATAGAAGAGGGGGAAATGTTTAACTTTTACCCCAAATGGGCAAAAAACCCCCCCGGGAGATACAGACCCTTAAGTTGGAGAAGAAATCCTGAAACTTCAGCCTCATTCTGGCAGCCGTACTGACAATCCCAGTGTTTCCTAGCGGGGGTAAAAACAGGCACCCCCCAACCTTTTTCTCATTGTGAACAACAGAACATCAGACTCTGTTTGGGAACACGCCGCAAACCAAACACATAATGTCAAACATCTTCTCTTCAGGGTTTTTTTTTTTTTTTTTAATTCTGAAGCTCAGCAGAAACCCCCGACCATCGATTGAATCAACAAAATCATAACAGAGTCCGGAGAGAGGAGGAGGAGTGTGTGAAGGTCAGCTCGTCTTCCTGTTATACAAACATCTGTAATCAAGCGTTGGTGAATCTGTGCAGAGACAAGGTCACACACACATTCACCAGAAGTTTTATAAACTGATTGTGGACCTCATGCTCTCTGTGCTGCCGGGAACTTTAACGCTTCACCAATTCAGGTGAATGAAAACAGAAAAGAAAGAGACGACGTTGCTACAGCTCGAGTTGTTCACTGTTTTCATTTTATATTGACCGAACTGTTCAGAGGTTTGGATGTGATGCTGCTTTGTTTTTACTCTGGGTGTTGGACACATGAGCAGGACTCATGTTGGGGTGAAAGAGATGTCATGATTACGGCAAACAAGCTGCAGGGGGCAGCATTTACAGTATGTGTACAGTACAGTACAGTACCTGCACCCTTCAGGGTTTGTTCTTACTGTGATGCTTCCTGCAGGACCTTTAAGAAATCTATCTGGAGATCCTGGCACATCTTGTATCTGCAGCAGGTTGTGAACTGGTCTGACAAAGACGGCTACAGAATACTGCTCCCTGCACCGGCTACGAGAACCTCAAAGAGTCAACTTCAAAATGATCCTAATCGTCCAGAAATCACTGAATGGATCTGGTCCTAGTTGCCTGTCAGTCACTTCGACAGCAAGACCTAGGGATCGAACCACCAATCTTCAGTTTGAGAGACGACTGACTCGCCCACTGAGCCACAGCCGCTTCTACAGATTACAACATTCATTCAGAAAGTGGAGCTTATGATTCATTGACAAAATCTTTGCAGTTTGAATAAGTTTCTGGAGAAAATAGTAGTGTTGTAGTACTAGAAATCTGTCTTGTCTTGGTCTCAGACTTGGTGGACTTTGGATTTGGATAGTTTGATTTTTATCCCCCGATTACGGACGCAAACTTCCCGGTGTTAGGGTCTTTAGAGAGACACGCCCCCTGCACACAAGAAAATGATTTTTCAGTGATATTTATGGTCTTGATCCCTAGATGTCTTGGTCTTGTTTTGGTCTCAGAGCACAAAATAGTCTCCATGTGTGGCGGTTGTACCTGGCAGAGGAGAACTCCCAGCTGACTTGCTCTATCCTGCCCCTCAAGATGCCGATATCGTTGGACACCATGTCGTCGAGGGCCTGGAGCTCCTTCTGGATTCTCTTCAGCTTCACAGCCTCTGCCTGAGTCTGTTTAGATCTGTTAACAACAACAACACTTTAAAAACAACATCCTGGGCTTGAGTGTTTCATGTCTTTATTTGACCATTGTCTGCCGTTGTCGTGGTTACATGGTACTCACCGCGGTACTGAAACAACCACACTTACTTCTCAGCGATAGTTTTCGTCAGCAGAGCTTTCTTGCGCTTATTCCTCTCTTCCATGAGCGTCTGCTCCTGCTGCAGTTGTTCCAGACGCGTCTTTTCCCGTCTATAATAAAACAAAGAATTTAATACACACACACACACACAGATCAGCGGTTACATCAAAAGAAGAAATTAAAACAAAAATGGGAATCTGCTTAAAGGTCTCATATTCTGCTTTTTCTGGTTTTATATGCCCTTTAGTGTGTTTTCCAAGTGTCCTGTGCATGTTTAGACACATCTATGTGCAAAAATTCAAAGTCCACGGAAACGCGGCTTCTCCTACCTCCTCCTGTTAGCTGTAGCATTAGCTGCATGTAACGCTCGGTTCTAGCCCCCCTCAAAAAAAATTGTCAGTCCGACATCATTGTCAGTGTGAGATCACTGATCTAAGCCCATTGGCTCGTTGTGGCCCAGCAGCTCATGTTGAAATTTCCGAGACGCGTGCTGAGCAACTGACCAATAACAACAGAGCGGCTCGGCAGACCAATCAGAGCAGACTTGGCCCACGTGGGGTCTAACAGTGTGGGCTCAACAGAGTGTAGCTGACGGACTCAGAGCGTAGAGGGAGCAAGGAGGAGCAGTACATGAAAACAGACACTTTCTTCAAACTTTATCTATTGTGAACGTACAAAAGTAGGAACATAGATTAAATATATGAACCCCAAAAAGGGCAGAATATGGACTCTTTAATGTTTTTATAAACATCGATAGCAGCCCGGATTTAGTTACACTACTGATTCATAAGGTCACAAGTGCAGGCTCCAGCAATGCGATGCAGAAGATAAAAGCAATGACAAATACTGGATTTAAATGCATTTTACCTGGCACACTGTAGACATCCTTTGGATAACAAAAAACATATTTGATTGTCCTGCCCTTTCATCTTACTGGGGTGTGATCTTCAGTACGATATCAAAGACTCTTAATATTGTACTTCGAGCAAGTGCAGCTGCAGCTATATTTTGTATTACAGATAAAGACAACTGCACATTGAGGAGAAGACATAAAGATGTTATTGTTTTTACAACACTGCTTACACGCAGAAGAACACTACTGCATTGGAAGTCATCGAGCCCACTCAAGGCGTCCCTGTGCCTGAGGGACTTAATGCACTTCATACAACTGGAAATATTCACTGAGAGGGTCTTGGAACAAATTTCACAGCATCTGGGATCCAGTATTATTGCATTTAGCTAAACTTAAAACTTTACCGGACACTACATAGAAGAGAAAATCAAAGAAGTTACTTTATTTTTTTATCATTATTATTTTTTTTTAACGTATTACAGAGGAGTGGTACCCTGTGTTCCAGGTTTGGGGGGATTATAGTCTTGTCTTACTTTCAATACTGTTTTATTTTGTGTGTTTAAAAATGTTTTATGCTTTGATACCTGCTTGTCATTATCGGTTGTGAATAAAAATAAATATAAAAAAAATAAATAAAAACATATTTGATGATGTAACCCCACCCAGCTAACAGGCACAATAATGACGTGTAACTTATCCTCCTTTTGTTTGCACAGGTAGCCACATTAGTGTTCGTGTAGGATAAGACTTTAATGATCCCCAGAGAGGAAATTCAGGCGTTACAGCAGCACAGACAAGAAAGCTCAAAATACTCATTAAACAGAATAGATAAGATGAATAAAAATAAAAACAGGGGGTATATACAAGTACAAAATGAACGATGAAGTTCAGTAATGTAAACAGCAGAGAAGAGAGGCAGTGTTGTACCACAGTAATGCAGAGTGCAGTTAGTTATATAATATAATGTAATAATATAATATAGGATCTGTAAATTTCCCCGTTGTGGGATAAATAAAGGATTATCTTATCTTACATGACCACTTCCTGTGTCTCCAGCTCTTTGACAGCCGGGCTCTCCTCCTCTGCAGCCGGCTGCAGGTTTGCATTCTGCTGCACCTCCACAGGGGCCTCCACAGGGGCCCCCACAGGAGCCTCCACAGGAGCCCCCACAGGAGCTCTGGGCTGAGGCTCCTCTTTCGGCGGTGGTTTGGTGAGTAGCTGGTCCGGTGGGAGGAGGAGGAGACCGGCTCCTGAGTGTTTCTGAGCCGCTGACTGAAGCGCCTTCTCCCGCTGCAGCTGCTGCCGACTCCGGTTAGCTGGAGCCGGCTTCCGTCCGCGGGCTGCTCCCGCCACGGACATCCCTGACTCTGAAAATACACACAGTAACGTTTACAGGAGGATTAATTCACTGACAGGTAATGAATCTGAGAGCAAAGTTACATCAAAGTGGAAAAGCAGGAGAGTGCAGTAAGTTACCTTTCAGCTGAATCTTTCGAAGCTCGTCTTCAGAAAAACCCGCCCAGCCGCTCATTTTACTCCCGAGCCCGTGAAGGACGTCAAAGCAGATAACATAAACTACTTAAATATTAATTATTGTTAATATTGAGCAAAGATAATCACTCTTAAAGGTCCAAAAACACACAGAAACTCTGTGAAGCTACGAACGCCTCCGCCATGTTTGTTTATGACTGCCACGTCAAGGACCCAGGAGTGGGGAGTCTCTGATGATGCCTGACTGAAAAAACAAATAAATAAAACAAATACTGAAGTAAAAATAACCACTCTCATCAATACACATTTATTTTTCCATTGATTAAAACACATATTCTCTGTGCGATTTTTAAGAAAAAAATGCGTAACTTGATCGCATCAGTACTAAGAAAAACAATAAAAACATTTATTTATGAAGTAACCTTTTAAGATAAGATAAAAAAAAAAACATGTACACAGATAAAACATAAAGAGAATAAAACAACTTGAAAGCCATAAAACTGGACTTTTTTCTTGCTATTTTTATGCCTGAAAACAATCAAACTCGCTGCCTTTAAGTATAAAATGACAAAAAAGAGAAACTTAAAAAATGTTTTTTTTAAGTAGGCAAGTAAGCCACAGTTTAACTATTGTTTTTATAAAAGCTTGCTCTTTGGTATTTATTATCGCTTATGATACTCTTTTAATAGATATTAAAGGCGCAGTATGTAACTCTCACCTAGTGTTTAAAATGGGTACTGCAGTCTCTAAACATCATAGAGAGCTGTCCCCCCCCCTCCTCTCTAGAGTGGATGCTCTCACAGGTCACCATGTGGTGGACTCTGAAGCTTCAGTGTTTATCCAGCTCTGCATGGGTCTGTAAACCTTTCTGTGTTCTAACCTCTCTCCATTTTTCAAAAGCATCTCCAATATTGATCCTAGTTTGAGCACGTTTCTGCTCGTGGAGCTTATTAGAAACATGCAGAGGCTTATTAGGTCGGGTACAATCACTTCTATCTGAACCACTTCTCTTGACCGCTTCCATCGCTGCAACACCTGTTGACCTGATAACTGCTCTCATATCTGACAAACAGAGGGGCGTCCAAAACGGCCGTGTGGGGGTGCTTTAAAACCGCCTACCTTCTCTGGTCCAAACAAATCCAGGCAAAGTTATGTTGCACTACATCAGTAATATCTTTGAAATAAATGTATTTCATGTATTTCATTGCAGATTTTTGTTTCTATGTTTTAGATTTTTTATTCATTTATTATGATTTAATGAGTCGTCATTAAATCATAATAAATGAATCATGATCCTGAAATCTTTCTAAAAACAATCATTTTAATGATGTACAAACACATTTGTTAATGCCTTACTTTGTTTTGACCATGATGTCCTTATTTGGTCATTCACTTCCTCATCCTGATCTTTTTCGAATACACTCCCTGACTCGCTGTGTGTCCGGGGGTCAGAGGTTAATTAAAACTGTTTCATGTGAATGCAGCATGACATTTTTTAGTGGCTGTGCTGCAAACAGTCGGTTCAGACACATCGTGTTCACAGAGTACGGCTTGTTTAACTTCTCTACTCTGTCCAGTAGACGCAGCACTGAGGGAATGCTACTTTCAACATCATGCTAGTTTTTAAAAAAATGACCACCCCTGCCTTTAAGCCGAAACCTGTTTTCATACAGTGCTATTGTTTGTCAAGGCATGACCTCTGAATAGGTCACCACATTTATCTGCCATCAGAGTGACACTTTAAAGGATGTCTGCCTCTTTAATCAGACTCTTCCAGGGACGGGAAAGCCCTTAAGTTTCTTATTCCTGCCGAGTCATGTTCTTTTCTTGTGAATATCACATATTAACTCAAACAAATTGACAGCAGGCGTTTCTGCTGAGTCAGCCATGAAGGTGGAGGTGAGATCCATGCACAGGAAACAGAACAGTTTGTATTTCAGAGCTTTGAGTCCATGTGATTTTTTTTTATTGTTTTTTTTTTTTACCTCTGTCATCCCGCACACACCATCACATATCCAGCTCTGTATTCCCTCATTACCTTCTCTCATGTCTGGCTTTGTGAGGACTCCTTATTTCCCTCGGTAATTGGTCGAGGTACTGACATAAAGCGTGTCTTTTTAACCTTGGCGGTGCAGAGGAGCCGTATAGCGACGCAAAAACAATGACCTCTGCTTGGCAACTAATAAAAAGTGGCCTCCACATCTTTTTTGCATCTGGGGGCCAATTATGTGCAAGTTAAAAGGCAAAACACCTCAGGAGGGCATAAATCGCCGGCAGAGTGGAGACAGGGCCAGGCATGGAGGCCAGATGGCACGGAGACGACGACTCCGGGTTCAGAGCGTGTTCAGTTGTCCTGGGCGTCGGGGGCCGTGGATGAGACGGCCTTGGATCCCTGATTAGTGAGAGCCGGAGGGGGACCACATGGGTCATTACTGAGGTGACCTGTGGAGGAACATCAGGGTCAGAGAGGGGAAGGGGGGGAGGGGGGCGTTACCACTCTCCATCGGAGAGAAGGAGGTGAGTGGTTCAGAAGTTTAACATGTCAGATTGTGACGTCCAAGTGTGTCCAGGAAGGTCGTCTAAGAACCAGAGAAAGTTCAAAGTTCAAAATAAATAGGTGTGCATGTGAGAATATCGCTGCAGCTTGTTTAGCTCAGTAATAGCAGCAGGAACAAAGCTGTCTTTGAACCGCTTTGTTCTGGGGACTTAAGACTTCTGAACAGAGGGAAGAAGCTGAAAGTCTCGGCGCAGAGAGCAAGGGAGACCCCGTTTAATATCCGCTGTAACTTCCACCTTTGGTTTCCATTCTGTGCGGCGATTGTGATAGATGTTGTTATAGAGAAGAAGACGTGTGTAGCGAGTGCAGCTCATCACCTCTGCCCTCCCCGCCATCCGTGAAGACACACAGCCAGCGTCGCTCAAACTGCTGTGAAATCTAAACAGCCAATCAGAGGAGACGTGTGTCAGAGAGTCAGAGCCTGAAATTGGGGGATGATTGGGGGTCAGGCTCCGAGCTGGAAGCTGGAGGAACTTCTAATTACTGTTAAAAACAATCTGTGCACCGGGTCCACCGCTGACCCCTCAGCCTTCTTCTTCTGTCCTGGTCAGAAAGCTCCCCCGCTCCCCCGCCCCCCAATGCTGCTGCTCTGAATTTGTTCTTTAATTTCCATCCCTGACCTTTCGTCCCGCCATCTGCAGCCAGTTTGGAGCGCTAACCAGCGTCCTGACATCACGCTCGCTGTCTCCTTTTATCTCTCGTTCTCTTCGCCCTCAGCAGCTGTCTCTCAATTTTTTCAGCAATTTTTCAACCCTCCATCTTTTCGTCTGTTTTATCTTCCACTTCTTTGCAGTTTGGGTTTCTCCTCATACTTTTTTCTTTTTTTGAAAGTTATGTTTTGGGGCTTTTTTGTCTTTATTGGAAAGGACATCTGTAGAGAGAGGAGAGAGAGAGAGAGGGGGATGACATGCAGGGGAGGGCCGGATTCAAACGCACGGTTCCTGCGATGAGGATTGTTAAAGCATCCGTACATGGGGAGAACAACATGGCCGCTAGACTACCTGCCCCTCCTCCTCATAGCTCTTCATCAGGATTTTAACGTTTGCTTTTGAACTTCTTGAACCTGGATTTTCCCTTTTCTCTTTAGGAATCAGATATTTGGCCTTCTTAAAAAGAAGTGAACCTCCTCCCTGTCGGCTGAAGTCTAAACTCTGCATGCAGAAAGTGATGAGGGTCTGCCAGGACGACCTTTGCCCTCTGATTGGCTCTTACTTGAATAACATGGCCGAGATCCTTCAAGTCAAGGCCAACAATCTTTGGGCAAAGTTGTGAATGTTTTTGTAACCAACAAATCATCACAAAAGTAAAAAATGGACGAAATAAAAGATGAATCAAATATTTTTAAAAGAGATTTATCGACAATAAAACTCCTCAGCTTTCTCAAGAAGAACACGCTCTGGTTTTTTTTGCAACATTTCTGCATCTTCTTCTGAATCTGGAGCATTTCTCATAACCTTCTTTGTCATTGGAATTAGTTTGCACTGTGTTTTTACCAAAACCGTCTTCGATTTCCTTCAACATACCTGCAGAATCTTTGGATTAAACAACTGCACTATCATAAACTGCTACGGCTAACGTCAAAGCTTCACTAAAAACCAAACGTTGAAGTGATAGAGCTCTTCAATATTTAATACAGGAACACAGAAACACACACAATGCAGGGAGGAAATCATTGTGAAGGGAGTGGTCAACAAAATGTCAAACTGCAACACAATCCCTTTCTGAAACCACAAGTCACATGTGGGATTTTAAAACCAAGACAGTGATTGTTCAGTGACCTTAACTTTGCTGTCTCTTAACCTCGAGGAAGTACTTATTCTACCCACAACCCACGACACTTCCCTAAACCGGACCTGAAGTCGTTTCAGCGCCAAACTCCCGTCATGAAACTGATTGTGTAGATTTGTAACCGCTCCAGATTAGATCAGAGAGCCACAAAATAAATGTTTCTTGGTGTCGTTCTGCTGAGTGTGACCGCACTCAGTTGCTCTTCACGGCGGTGATGAGCTGGGAGGCTTGTTTGACTTTTTATACCACCATTTATTACCTGAACAGGAACAGAGTGAGGACTGGTCAGGACTGGCTCGTTTTGGTGGCTCACACGCGGCACGCTCCAGAATGTTAGCACGTCGACTTAAACACAGAAGCTAGCTAGCATGCTAATACGTGTACAATGTTGTTAAATAGACGTTTTAGCACACATAAATTACAATTAAGCACTCAGGCGTAATTCACTCTATGAGACACGGTTTACTCCAGTGGTGGGCAACTGGCGGCCCCCATCAACCCTAAACGTGGCCTCAGGTCAATTTTTACATATCAATTAATTTGAAACATGAAGAAAACTTGACGAAATCAGCCATGAAATCATGAAAAGCAGAAATATGTCCATAATAATATTTGATCACTGGTATATGTTGACTTAAATTTGAGACATAATTGACTGTAATCGTTTTTGTATCCTACAGTTTGGCCCTCTGGCAGTGAGAATTAAATGAACGTGGCCCTTACTGTGACCAAAGTTGCCCGTCCCTGGTCTACACGGTCCTGATGTGTGCAGCAACTCACCTTGGGCACGTCTCTTATACTCTGGCAAAGCATAATGGCCGCCCATCTAAATTTCTGTTGTTGAACTTAATACTT